CTGTAAAATAGGGTTATGAACTCATTAAGCTAAAAGAATATGGTACAGTTCTTTTTTTGTGTGTCTCTTTCTCATATGTGTGTTTTCTGCTGTAATGCATTGACTTGCTAAAGCACATGCTAGATGTGTCTATTTCCCCACACTATTTTTACTCACATGAACACCTGACACATAGCTATTTCTGGCTATGTAGCCTGCTGAACATCCCAGGTATCACTGTTGAGCATATTAAGACTCAGGCTTGTGGGAAGATTGCCCCAGTTTAACAAACCATTCCACGTAAGCAGAGCTGTGGTCTTTTTTGTCCATACCCATAGCACGTAGCAACCACAAAGCACTGAATTTATTTAAGCTTGCAGTGCAAGAGTGGCAAATTAAAATTGTGTTATTATGCATTTGCTGCGGGTTCAGAGCTAGTGTGCAGATAGCCCTCATGGCTCAGCTGGTGATACTGATTTCATATACCTTGGTAATTTTGACCATGAATGCACCATCACGCTCATATGCCTTCAGATCATAAAAAGTACACGTAATACTACTTGGGGAGCCTCTCTGCAATATGGTTTCACCCTATCTGATGTTTATGTTACCCTGCTTTCCACATTAGATCTGTCCTGCCCACTGTGGGACTAGCTAGCTCCTGCATGTGTTGGGAGATACGTGGTATGCAGAAAGACAATTCCTGTTTTCTTTCCCTAAGTGTAACAGGCACATGACATCCACTGTAACATGTGAGCAGGAAGAGATTTAAGCAACTGGGTGATGCTGATTAGTCCATCTCTCAATCATCCTCTCTTTCCACTAGTCTGCCCTTTCTAAGCACCTTCTGGGTGGCTTCAGCAGCAGGCTTGGTAAGTGGAAAAAAAAAGACAGAAATAAGCAACAAGCAGAGAAGCATTTGTTCAGCAGCAACGTGGCACTCTGAGGGCTCAGAAAGTCTGCCAGGGTGGTAAGGTACAAAGATGCCTGAAACCACAGTGCAAGAAGTATCCTCTTGCTCACTGCTGCTCGCATTTGGGTCTGACTGACCTGAGTGGAGACAAAGGGTAGAGTGAAGGTTGCTTTAGCTATGAGCAGATCTGGTATTTTGCAAACCTCTAGCTCGGGGGGGTTGGGGGATGTAGGGTGTTGTCTTTTATTTGGTTGGTTGGTTTGGTTTGTTGTTGGCACGTATGTGTGGGTTTTTTCCTTTGTTTTTCTCTTTTTTTTTTACAATCACTCTTTATAAAGAACTGGCGTGTGGGAAGGCAGACAGAACAGAATGCTAATTCTCCTTCTCCCCGAGTTGCCCCTCCCAGTTCTAACAGATGCTGCAGTCTGTCTACCTTCATCCTTATTATGCTTTTTGACACCCTAATATGATAAACAGGACATTAATAATTATTACATTATTAACAAACACCATTAGCAGTATTTTCCACATTGTTAACATGGCTTGAGAGATCACTGGAGGTTAATGAAAGAGTCTAGCTGGACCTTTTGAAACAACCCTCCATGTTATTTTTCAGTGCAATTCCCTATGGATAGTTGAGCATGTTATTTCAAATCCCCAAGATGTTAAAGTAGTTTGAGCCACACTTTTTAGAAAAATGTCAGAACTGCTGAGTGAAGTTATAGGGTCATCATTTAAGTAGGTCAGAACAGATATCTTACAGGCCTTTCCTGACCTTATAAAACTACTAATCTAAGAACGGTTTCTCTAGTGAGATAGGAACTCATCCATCAAGGCCTTACAAAGCCATATAAATTCTTTAAGGCAATTTTAATTAAAAAGTGTGGGTTTGAGTTTTTTTTGGTTTTGGTTTGTTTTGGTTTTTTTTTTAAACCAAGACAAAGCAAGCATACTCAGCTCTGAGGCTGATTTGCTCAGTGAAAATGCGTTGGAGTTATACAGTCCCCTATCCTGGGAAAAGTCAGCACTCCTTAAAATGAAGACTTGCAAAGACTCATCTCATGACCCTCTTCCATTTTAATTATAGATTTCTCTTGTGAAAATACTGTTCTCATGAAGCTGATATCCAGACCACTGTATGGTTGATTGGACAGCATTCTCCACTGTTACTGACTGCCAGGTTTTTATGTTTGTTCTACCCATAGAATCATAGAATATCACAAGCTAGAAGCACCCCATAATGTTCACTGACTGCAAATCAGATTTCTCCCGAAGGCCTCTCTACCCTGGAGGGCGTCCATGGTTCCTCCTAGTTTAGCATCATCAGCAAACATACATTGATGAATACTTTATTCCTGCAACCAGATAGTTTATAAAAACATTAAAGACCACTGTCCCTAAAATCAAGCTCTGGGGAAACCAACTTCTCACTGACTGCCAGCCTGATATAACCCCATTTACTAAAACTCTCTGAGCCCTACCTTTCAGCCAATTATTCACCCACTGTATTACGGACTTGTTTAGCTGTTTCCTGGACATTTTGTCCAGAAGGATATGGTAAGAGACAATATCAAAAGCTTTGCTAAAAGCAAAACCACTCTACATCTGCTGGCTTCCCTTAGTAAACTAGATGGGTGAGCTTTTCATAAAAGGAAATTAAGTTGGTTAAGCAGGATTTTCCCCTTGTGAACCTGTGCTGGCTATAACCAATGACTGCATTGTCTCTCAAGTGTTTTTCAATAACTCCCAGAAAACATTCTCCATAATTTTACTAGTCAGTGAAGTGAGACTGACAAGCCTCTAATAACAAGGGTTTCCCTTTTACCCTTCTTGAAAGCTGGCACAAGTTTTGCCAGACTCCCAAGACCATTGCCGAATAGTGGAGAGAGGTCCTGAAATAACAACAGCCAGCTCTTTCAGTACCTTGGGATGAACCCCATGGCACACCACAGACTTATATGCAACCAGCTGGAGCAGCAGTTTAGAACAAGTTCAGAGTCCACTGGGACCTATCATTCACCCACTCACAGTCTTCCAGCACTGGGCTCCATGGGTCCTAAGGCTGATCATCAGTGTTGAAGACAAAGGCAAGAAGGCATTAAACTACTCTGCTTTACCTACACCCCTATTTGTGAGGTGCCTGGCCTCATCAAGTTATAGACAAATATTATCTCTGATCCTCTTTTTCCTGTTAACACCTTTTAAAAAACCTTTTCGGTTGTCCTTCATAGTACTGATCACCTTGAACTCTCATCAAGGTTTGGCTCCATTAATTTTCTCCCTACAGTGGTGAACAGTATCTCTGTCATTCTCCCATGTCACATGTCCTTGCTTCCAATGTCCACATACTTTATTTTTCTGCCTAAGTTCTAGACAAAAAAATCCCTGCCCAGTCAAGTCACCCTTCTGCCCCAGTTGCTTGATTTCTGGCACTTTCGGAATTTCCCACTCCTGTACTCTAAGACATGGCTTTTAAAAAGTGACCATCATTCATGGACACCAATACCTTCAAAAGCAGATTCCTGGGGGACCTAACTAGCTTCTTCAACTGCCCTGTTCTTTTCCATACAAGAAGATGCTATGCAATTCTTATTAATGATACATGTGAAGATAAGCAACAGACTTAATAAGGTGTTAAGGGGATAAAAAATAAAAAAGCAGGGAAAATACTCTTTTCTTATCTACCTAGACTGAGAGTCTAGCAGCTCAGAATCAAGTCTAACCCCAAAGTAAAGAACATAAATTAAGCAATTTTACTGCACCAATTTTCTTAGTGAGAGGCAAGTTTGAGCAGAAAGTACCAGGTGCCCAAGAGCTGTTTCCAAAAATATCTAGGTCAAAGCAATTACTCTGAGTGGAAGCAAAACAAAAATCTTTCTTGTTTTGCTTAGTAGTGATGTCCAAGGTCTTTGTGCAGGTGCACGAGGTGTCAGCATTTGACAGTCTTGAAGTTCACCCTGTAGAAGCTCCTGCTGCTGCAGTACAGTATAAGCAGTATGGTATCTCTTGAGTAGCACGCAGTAAGACTTACCAGATACTTCTCAGAAGTGAGACCAGTGAGCCTGACAACAAGGAAAATGAAATGCTACAGTGGAGGCTGTCAAGAGGAATATGTTCATAGTCTGGCCTAAATCTTGATTAAGAAACACTCAAGAATTTTCAGTAGTAAAATGATGGCATTGCAGACTTTTTTTTTGTCCCTCGTGTCAGAATTGTTTTACTTAGGAGAAAGAAACAGCCTTGAAATTGGACATTAATTTGCATTAAGGTTGCTAACAAAGGACTCACCATGGCATGGTTTAATGTTCAAAGCACACTGGAAAGCAGATTGTTATCTGTAATAAGGCATTGAGAATCCCTATTAATAGGGGCCTTGCCTTTTTTTGCATCAAGAAAGTGGAGACAAATTCATGAAGCAAAATACTTTCAAGCACAGCTAAGCATGAATTGCTAATAATCCAGGCCTTGAACACTGTGAATTGCAGAGACCTTGAACTATTAAAGTCTCTTTTGGTGGTAGATCCCTTTTCTCCATGCCTTACTGATAGCTGTTTGTAGGATTTTCCAATTCTCAGTTTTCCAAATTGAGATACATTTAACAAAATGCACACTTCCTGCTTTTTTATAAAGCAAATTAGCAATTTGCCTATTGCATCTCTCTCTCTGATTTAAGAGAAGTAAAATAACCAGGATCCCATGGTTTCTGACAACAGGTGAGCAGAGCAGAGTTCCTGAAGCACTGGGTGACAGAGCTCATGGTATTAACCCCAACTGGCTACTGTTGTCATAGTGAGTTTGGAAATGTAAAGTCAAATTTAAGTACTTCCCTGGTACCATCCTGTAATATCATCGATACTCTTGCTACAGAAATGATGTGAATCGTAAATGGGGAATTTCTATGGAACAGATTCTTTCTCATGGCATCATCTCTGCTATGAAAATTGTAAATCTCTACAATTTATAGCAATATAGGACCTGAAAAAATCCTGGTTTTCTAGAGATGCTTAAACTTTAATGTATGAATGTGTTGCCCAGGGAAGTTGTGAATGCTCGATCCCTGGCGGTGTTCAAGGCCAGGTTGGACAGAGCCTTGGGTGAGATGGTTTAGTGGGAGGTGTTCCTGCCCATGGCAGGGGGGTTGGAACTAGATGATCTTAAGGTCCTTTCCAACTCTGACTATTCTATGATTCTATGATTAAGCATGATTCACCCACTAGGATGCAGCCTGATAACAAAAGTATTGCAAAACACTCAGTTATGGTGTCTTACTGTTTGTTGACAGCTAGAAAATACAAAAGCTGCAACTGGGGGTAGGAGAAAGGGGGAAAAGGAAGGGTGATTCTAATTGCAACAGCAATTGCTTCCCATAGGACACTACAGAAACAACATACTGGAGTTTGCAGGTGCAAGACCTTGAGATTAAGAAACTGCAAATCAGAGGCTAAGAGCATCCTGTGGGAGCCATCCTCTTATTTTGTTTGTCTTCTTCTTCGCAGGAGGTATAGTTCAGCTGAAGTGCTCAAGTAACAGGGAGAAGTAACCTGTCTTTCAGGATGCTCATTACTCTGGTGCCAGCTCAACCAGAGCTGAGGACGAAACCTCCACCAAAACAAAGAGAAAGCATCTCTTCTGTCCTGCTAGGTACCTACTGCAGTTTTACACTATTAAACATGCCCTGCAAGAGAAACAAGAGTGGCTTTGTTCTGTTTCTCAGCAGCTCATGCAGAGTTTGAACTGAAGCAGCAGGCTAGAAACCCCCTCACCGCTCTCCCCTTTACTTCCACTGTGTCCAAAGGATCAAGAGACACGCACTCCCAGAGCATAGACAAAGCTTCAGGCACAGAGTGCAACTTTCCTCGACACATAACCAGATGGAGATATTCTAACTGGGAATAAAAAAGGATGGCTTTTATTTTCTTACCTTTGGGAAACATTTTAAGAGCTACCCTGGTGAATTCCTACCCATTATTCCACATGAATTACTCATTATTTTCATTAAGGAAACCCAAGCCGTGATACAGTCATGTAGATGAAAGAAACCTGTAATGTTCTCTCTCCCCCATCATACGTTTTCATTTTTAGATTACTCTTAATCTGTATATACTCAAATTAGGAAAATGTATAGGGTTTATTAGCAATTAAACTTTAGGATTTTTTTCCCCTACTGATTTTTCATAGATTTATGGATCCATAATCATTCACGTCACAGCCTGAGGGAGATGAGGCTAGAACAGGATAATAGCCCTTAAATCCCCTTCTCTAAGCACTCAGATCTTCGCTGTCAGCAAGATTAAAACGGTCAACTGCAGTCTTCATGTGTCTGTTTCCCACACGGAGCTTTAACAACAACTGGCATGTTGGCTGGCATGGAAGAAAATGCAGAAACACTGCTGTGCGTGACAGTACTCAGATAAAGAAAGAAGAAAACAGAACTGTCATCCTTTGTAGTGTTAGAAGGGACTGGTTCTAATTCCTTGATCAGGTGACTGCAAAGAAGGGAGAAGAGTAAGGAAAAATAATATGTTGCAGTTTAACATGCAGCGACAGTTTCCTTTCCTAAAACATACAGGCAGAGAGAGGGAAGCACCGAACGTCCTCCCGCAGCCTGACAAGGGGAAGGACAATGAAGGCATGCATGTAGACTGGCAGAGTGGCTTTTCTGCTACTGCTCCATTGAACTCCCAGCACCTACTGCTCCTGGGACCTGAGGGAAATTACAACTATTACGTGGACGATGAAGATGAGGAAGAGGAAGAGAAAGAACAAGGAAAATGGCCAAGCAGAGAACCATTTGAGGGAGAAAATAAGCCCTCATCATCCATACCTTGCTCTCCTGCCCCTTCCTTTGGAGCTCCAGCTTCCACTTCATCCGTGCTGAACATCAATGTCGGTGGTCAATGCTACCACCTCACCTACCAGGCAGTGGCCATCTATCCAAAGACCCGCTTGGGCCGCCTGGCTACATCCACTGACCGCCGCTGCCAGCTGGGCCTGTGTGATGACTACGCCGCCCAGGTAGATGAGTATTTCTTTGACCGGGACCCAGCCGTCTTTCAGCTGGTGTACAACTTCTACGCCTCAGGGGTGCTGCGTGTGCGGGACGAGCTGTGCCCCCGTAGCTTCCTGGAGGAACTGAGCTACTGGGGCGTGCGGCTCAAATACACACCTCGCTGTTGCCGAATCTGCTTCGAGGAGCGCCGTGATGAGCTGAGTGAGCAGCTGAAGGTCCAGCGTGAGCTGCGCTCCCAGGCAGAGGCTCAGGAGAATGAGCAGCTCTTCCATCACATGCGCTACTATGGTCCTCAGCGCTGGCGCCTCTGGAACCTCATGGAGAAGCCCTTCTCCTCTGTCACTGCCAAGGTGATGGCAGTGGCCTCCAGCTTCTTTGTGCTCATCTCTGTGGTGGCTCTGGCACTCAATACAGTGGAAGAGATGCAGCAGGTAGACCGTAAGAGCGGGGAGAACCGGCCTGTCTTGGAGCACATTGAGACCCTGTGCATCGCGTTCTTTACACTGGAGTACCTGCTGCGCTTGGTCTCTACCCCAGACCTGCGCCGCTTTGCCAGCAGCGCCCTCAACGCAGTAGACCTGATTGCCATCCTGCCCCTCTACCTGCAGCTGCTGCTTGAATGCTTTGCTGATGATGACCAGCCCCGAGGTCGGGGCTCTCAGCACGAGCATGATATCGAGAAAGTGGGACGAGTTGGCAAGGTGGGGCAAGTGCTTCGCATCATGCGTCTCATGCGCATCTTCCGCATCCTCAAGCTGGCCCGCCACTCCACAGGGCTGCGTGCCTTTGGCTTTACCTTGCGCCAGTGCTACCAGCAGGTGGGCTGCCTTTTGCTCTTCATTGCCATGGGCATCTTCGCCTTCTCTGCCATGGTCTACACAGTGGAGCACGATGTCTCCAGTACCAACTTCACCAGTATCCCCCATGCTTGGTGGTGGGCTGCCGTAAGTAACCACATCTTACCTTGCTGGGTAGGCAGAGACCCTCCCTCCCTTCCCCTTTCCTTTCTTGCTAGAGTCGCTGACAGTCTTGAAAACAGCAGGCTCAGATCAGTGAACATCTGTTCTGAATTCTGAGCTTAAGGACATATGCACTCACTCACACACACACACACACACACACACACACACACACACACTCACACTCATTTACCCCTGGTGTAAGCTTAAATTGAGGATTAATCAGACAGGCAGTGTTGAAATTCCCATCCGATCAAATGCAGACAGTATTTGCACTTTTAAAGAAGTGCATTTAATCCCGTTCTCAGTGTTGCCAAATTAAAAAAAAAAAAAAGACAAAAAAGATAAAAATGTGCATTGGACTAATGATTGCAGGTAGACAGGATTTTCATTCTTGCCCTTTTCAGAGCTCTACTGTGGCCCATCATACAACTGCAAGATGAGAAGACATGGCTATTAACTATAGTCTGGTCACTGAAACTTGCAAAGGCAAAGGTGTCCCAGAACTCTGGCCTTCAAAAATATATTAGGACCAACAGTTGTTTTATATAAGAGATTGTGTTCTACTCTTCAGGTAGCACATCTAAGGCACATATCTGCAGAAAGACAAAACACTGGAGGTTATATATACTGTGCCAGACTTACAGAAGAATAAATACAAACAGAAGCAGAATGGCTCAAGTAATTGATGATGGGATAAACTGCCTTATACATCTAGGTCAGTAGTTTGAATCCCACATCAGTAAATACTGAGAGCTGGTTAATGTCACATTCAATCTTTTTTTTTTTTGCAACCTCTGCTAGAAAGAGTGTGATTCTAGTCCCACCCCAAGCACTTGTAGTGAGGGTAACTGTCTGAGTTTCAGCTGACAAGCCTCAGCGATAAAGAGAGAATGACTGTCTAGAGATGCCACTGGGTTAGTGCTCTGAGGCATCTGGGCACATCTTGAGGGGTCTGAACCATCACTGGTGTTTACTATACTGTGTTATGAGGAGGAGTGTTTTTGAGGCAGCATTTTCCAGGCTGTTGGGTTCACCAGCATTTTCCAGGTGTTATCAGTGTTCTTCTCAGGCTAAAAGTCAAAAACACAGGACTGTGCCAGCTACTAAGGAGAAAAATGACTGCTATAGTGGAACCTAGCACACAGCGGCATGAAGATTCAGCCAGGAACACAAAGATGTGAGAGTTTAATGTCCTCCACCTGCTGTAAATGCCTCCTGGCTCTAGCAATGTCCTAACAGGACTGTTCCAGCACCCCAAACCTGGAATTCCCTTCATAAAGGGTTTCATAAAGGCTTTAATTCATAAAGGGTTTGGAAAGCAGTTCAACTCTAGACTTGGATTGCATTAACACCCAAAGATAGGCATATATTCACTTATAGGAGGCTAACCAGTATTCCTTGAACTATTGTGAGATAAAAAGGATAATTATACTCTTCAAGGTGAGCTGTGAAGACAAAACACTTTTAGGTTTATCAAGGCTAGCAGGTGATGGAGAGGGAGTTGCAGGCTGTAAGTAAATGCTTAGGAGATAATCTTCATGCACAAGCATGGCAGTTTCACAATTCTCATTTTTACAGCAATATGTTTTGGCAGGAAAAGGGGTGGTTTTATCAAGCGCATTGGGGAAAGGGGGATGTTGATCCCTGCCTATGCTGCTGCCTGTAACATTTCAGAGCTGGAACACAACAGCTCTGTTATATTGCAGAAGATGTGTCTATGACAGTCTGGAATAAACCAGAGTGCAGCTAGACACTGCAGGTGCTGAGAGAAGGCAAAAGGCCTGTATCTTGGCTGTCCATAACTCTAAGGCTTGTTCTAGTCTGTCATCATGTACATTTTGTTTTGCAGCAGCTGATGAGGGCCTCCATAATCCATGTTTATGGCAGGGCGCCCAGGAGCACTTCTGACCTCTGGTTCTGGCTATGGGGCTGGCTATGTTCCAGTTGCTCCCAGGAGAAAGAAGCCCATGCAAATGGACTGGAAGGGAGTCAGAAGATCTCTTCATGCTAGTTGATCAGCATAGGAATTGGATGTACTGAGCTGTGTATGATGCCCACAGGACATTGACCCTACCTCATCCAAAGCCACTTATCCTGGCCAGCAGCCCCAAGGATCCATGGCCTGCACCTCTGGTTCAGTGATGGCTGATGTGATGTGGTGGTTTCCCATACGTATGCTTTAGTGATTCAGCAGATGCAGAAAAACTGGCCCTATAGACACCCACAGACATTTATATA